CATTTCTTAATTTCTTTCCAGGAACAGGAAGTCCCTGGAATGGCTCCAGAGGTTCCCAAGGCTCAGAGAAGCACTCCAGGGCACTTTGAAGCTGTTCCTTGAGGAGCAACCCAGCTGATTGAAGGAGAAATCAGCTCATCCTTCCCCCCCCCAACACAAGGACTGCTGGACCCCACACAGATGCAGCCAGGACAGAGGATGGGAAAGGTCCTGTTGTAGGTGTGTCTGCCCTTCTTCGGGCTCCAAAGGTGCTGATGCACATTAAAATTCCCTGTTGGAAGACACACGTCAGCTGCAGCCTTGTCCTCAGATGTTCTCTTCCCCTGCTGGGCTCTGCTGGTGGCTTGGGAGAGCTGGAGCACTGTCCCCATCCCTCAGTGCCACCCCAGCGGGGCCGGGAGCTGCAGAGCAGACGGTGCAGGGGGGCAAGGAGCCACTTTCCAGATGAGGAGCAGAACGTAAAGGGCTGGCCGGGTGCTCCCGGGCTATAAATAAGTGTGATTCATGCTCCGCGCCCGCCAGAGCGCTCGGGCTGCTCGAGACCTCACACCAGGGCTCCAGCCAACATTTCCAGAGAGGTTTCCAGGCTGCCGGCGTTTCCCTGCAGGCAGGTTCAGCCCTGGGGAAATCACAGTCCTGAGGACGTTGAAGAGCCCCTGCCAGGGCTGAGATGGCTCTAACAGGAGACCTGTGGCTGTGGAGGCACAGATGAGACCCTGGTCTCTGGAGAGGAGAGGTGGAGGAGCATCAGGTCTGGGCCTGCAGTGGTGGCTGGTGGAAAACCCCATCATACAACTGATGTTCCTGGTCTTCTGGGACCCTGATCCCTCTGTATCTGCTGGCAGGGACAAGCAGGTGGCAACCCCACCACACCCCCCTGGTGGCAGGTGACTAAATGGGGCTGGCAAGCCCAGGCCCAGGGTTCCCTGTCCCAAAATGCCACCAAGAGCCAGTGCCAGGACTGTGCTGAGCCATCCCAGGGATGCAGTTTGCCTCCCTGCCCGTGCTCTCCTGCTCTGGGTGTTTGGGGGTGAAGATGGGGTGCTGGGGAGGAGACAACAGAACGTCACGGGGAGGAGTTGGCTGCTGGGGGCTCCCTGCTCACTGCTCTTGGAAGAGTTGCTGTTTCCTCCCTTTGATTCGGCGGGATTTTGGCTCCTGGCCCAACACCTGCACTGACACACTGACCCACTTCTGGCTCTGAACCTCCCTGGCTGGCTGTGGGATACAGGAGCAAGTGACTCCCGACGGGGTTTCACCCTAACCCCTCCACTTTGAAAGGCTGTGGGCAGCATCCCCGGGCTCTCCTGAGGGGTCTTCAGCCCCCAGAACATCTCCTCCAGCTTTGCTGGGGGGTCCAGCCTGCTCAGGAGGGAAGGCAATGCAAGCAGTGGAGCAAGGATGGAGTTATGGAAGGGAGGAGAGAAACACACAAGAAGTTTAAGGAGGGAAAGCAGCGTGTGAAGGGCCAGCTCTGACTCTGCATGGTGTGCTTACTGCCACCTGTGTTCCCTGTGCCAGCCCAAACACAAGCAGGACATTGCACTGTGCTGAGGGGCTGCAAGCAACCTTCTGGATGCACCATCAAGGCTCTCCTGCCGGCCTGACTTTCATCTGTGAACACTTCTTCATCCCCTTGTGAACTTCTGGAGATGTCGTGCAGGTCAGCTGGGGAGGATCCTTGTGGCTATTGCACTAATTGGCTTACCCAGAGGTCATGCACACTCTCCCAACCACGGAGGCTTCCCAAAGCAACCCCAAAAAGCTTGAGCTGCAGAGTGTGGGTTTCCAAATTCCCCCACCACATCTGCTCCACACTCAGCTACAGCCAGATGTTCCCTGGTGCAACGTCCCTTTGGTTTTACAGCAGGCCAAAGACGTTCAGCAGAACTTTGCTGGTGGGACATCAAGGTCCAGGATGGGTGGGAAGCTTGGCTGAACCCTTTGTGATGCTGTTTCCAAGAGGCAGGGATGTGGCTGAAGGCTGGATGCTCTGCAGGGCCCTCCAACAAACAGCTCAGGTAGGAAGGTGAAGGTCCCATGGACGTGGTTCCTGGCAGATCTGCACCCACCCCAAGGGCAAATCCATGATCCAGCTGGGAAGGAGGGAGCAGAGCAGGGCTGGAGGGGACAGCCCCATTCATCAGCCACTCGTTGACACAACTGGAAACTGCCCATCAACCGGGCTCGAGGTGAAATTTAAGTCGGGGTTTGATGTAAGAGCTTTTTGGCAGGGAGATGAGGTCTGAAGGTGTCAGGGGACCACAGATGGATGTGCTCAAGGCAGGCAGATGTCTCCTCCAGCGTGTGCCTTTGCACCGAGCTTGCTTGGGGATTTCAGGAATGGCTGGTTTAGCAATGTGTAAAAAAATCAGATCCCAGCCGTGAGCTGCAGCTCTCGAAGTGCTGGGACCGAATCCATCCCACGTGCAGCTCCACTGACCTCACCAGGTTTCCTCCAGCCCTGGAGCTGGCTCCTCCATGCAGGGCTGTCACTGGGCTTCCTCCTCTTCACAGCAGACCCGCGCAGGCAGGAGCTGCTCCAGCAGGATGGGGTTCAACCCTGCCTGTGCTCCAGCAGGATTTACAGCTGGATGGAGGACACGGTCCCTGCCCGGGGTGGGGGGACAGGGAGAACGGGTGGGACAGGATCCTGCACGTCCTGCACAGCATCATTCCTGTTCTGAGCCATCACCAGCCAGCACTGACCCCAGATAAGGGGCAGCTGAACCCAGCTGGATGCTATATCCTTCCCACCCACCACCTGGAAAGACATTTTGGGAATGGTCTCCCACAGGGAAGAGGAGGAGCTTTTGGCAGGGATAATCTGGGAGTGGAGACACGGCTCTGGTGTCCCCCAGGTTATAGGGAGGGGGGATGGAGAGCTCATCCTGGTGCAGCAAACACCCTGCAGAGTGAAAGGTCAGGGAAAGGGAGCTCAGCAAATCCCTTCTCCCACTGCAGGAGGGGAGGTCCAGGTTCTCAGGAGGACCATGAGTCAGATAGAGCAGGGAGAGTTTTTTTTTTCTTGGCAGGTGGCAATGTGAGCTGTTCCCAGCTGGGGAGGGGGAAGAAGGGGCTGCAGTCCTCCTCTTCTGGGCTCAGACCCTGTGTTTTGGGGTGGTGGCCTCTTGGCATCAGCTGCTGAGGCTCCTGCCAGCAGGCAGAGGATGGAGCAGCAGGTTTCTGCCCGTGGGGACAACCTGCCTTTGCACCTCCTGGCCTCACTCACCCCTTGGTCGAGCTTTCTTCAGGCTGCTACACCAAACCTGCCCAGAGGACAGTGAGGGCTGTCCCTAAGCAGGCTTCCCCCACACCTCTGTTCTGGTATCTGTGGGTGGAGGGTCCCTTGGGCAGGGGGTCAGGACACAAGTGCAACCCCCTCCCGTGCACATCGGAGCTGAGACGCAGGAAACCTTAGCACAGCCCAGAGCTCCTTTAAACCGGGGACAGCCCCTCTGGGTCTTCCAGCCCACCTCCCTCCCCCCACACACACACACCTGCTTGGTGAAGAGGATGGCAGTGTCCCAGTACTCGGGGTGCTTGTCGCTGCCCTTGTTCCACTTCTTCTGCCAGGCACAGAAGTTGCGGAGGGTGAGGGCGGCGTTGCCGGTGACCTTGGGCCCTTTGTCGTCCTGCCCGATGAGGAGGAACTTGACCACGGAGATCTGGATGGGGTTCCGGATGCTGGGATGCTTGTAGAGCCGGGCGGCCGTGGCCATCAGGGTGAGCAGGTAGTGCTGGAGATCCTCCCCGTGGAACTTCACCATCGACTCGTCGGCCACCACCAAGGTCTCCACGTAGCGGGGGACCGAGGCGAAACGTTTGGCTCGACCCCCTTTTTTCCCTCCCTCAGGCCCCCTGTACTTGTCCAGAGCCTGCAGGACCCCGGGGGTGAGCCCGGAGCCCACGGCACAGCGGGACGCTCCGGC